GAAACACTGAAATATTAAAACACCGAAATACTAAAATACTGAAATACTAAAATACCGAAATACCGAAATACCAAAATACCAAAATACCAAAATACTAAAATTGAACAATAAATGTCAAATTTCTATTACAATAAAAGAAACAGAAATCCTCAAAATTACAACAAAAAACATATTTATAATTTTTGAAACTAATTACTTTGTTCAGACAATGAAAGTGATATTGCATCGGTAACACGAGTAATAATAACATTTCTTAATTATGAGTTATTGATTATCGTTACATGATCGAAAGTTGCAGACAGAACTATAATTAGAGATTAAGCACGTGCTGGCCAGTTAATTCTGCGCCATTCTACTGCATAAAGTCTATATCACTTAATAACGTGACAGATTTATCTGCTATTCATTTTCAGTCAAATTTACGACTTTCGTTTTATACGTAACAAGCATAATACGAAACAAAAGAAACTGAATAATTAAAACTTACTCAGAGGGTCTCATTGTGTTACTGAAAATTTATTGTAATTTGCGTCGTAATCCGAGGATTGTATACAACTTCCTATTTTATAGGAAGCCATAATTTTCACGCGTATAAGTGGAGAACCATTTACGAAACTTATTTTTTGTTACTGTTGCTATTAGTTTTAGCATCAATTAATGAGTAGGTAATAATATGATACACAGCAAATAATTAATTTTAACGGAGATATAAAATAACGTTTTCATAGCTGTAACGTTTCATAGCGGAATAGTATCGGGCAGGTAGAAAATATTTCAGTCGAAAGAAGTTGAAGCATGAATACATTTTGGAACGGGTACTACTGGTAAAAGTAAGTGCATTCGTTAAATAATTTCATTGAACGCCCATATGTATAATTTCTGTAGCGTGACCTCGATGTCTACATCGCTGTCTTTACATAATAATTTCACCTTAGAAACTCATGGCAAAATCGACTGCATCTATTTAATTTTCTTTAAATTCCTTGCGTAGTAATCCACATTATAAGAGAGCAAAATTGAATTTTATTACTTTATCTGAAACTGATGTTTTTATTAAAGTTAATTTTTATTTCTTTCGTGATGTAACGAATGTTCAAATAAATATTTTTTAATATGTACAAATATTTTTACTTCACAAAATTATTCATCGTTTAATTAGTTATTTATACACTATCTTTATGTATTATGATAATAGTTGCATACTGTCTTTATACAGCGTGTCTCATAAATAGTATAGGACCCTGAAATGGGGGGGTAGCTGACGTGATTCTGAATAAGATTTCCCTCTGCAAAAATGGGGTTCGGAGCTTCGTTTTTGAATTATTAAGGAGAAACGCGAACCAATAAGTGGATGCGTAGTAATTCCACGCGTGGTAATTCTACGCGTAGTATTTCCACGCGTAGTAATTCACGCGTGGTGATTCGACACTTAGGGATTTGACGCGTGGTAATTCGACGCGTGGGAATTCCACGCGTAGTAATTCGAGGCGTGGTAATTCGACGCGTGGTAGTTCGACACATAGTAATTCCACGCGTAGTAACTCCACGCATGGTAATTTAACGAGAGGTAATTCCACGCGTGGTAATTCAACGCGTGGTAATTCGACGC